TAAGCGCTCTGGCTTCTCGCTAATCCCCTCCTGAGAATGGGAAAACACCAGTGTTTCCCTGAACACACTGGGGTGGGTGAATGCTCTACACTGTGAGCACCAGCTAGGCAGCAGAGGTGAAATGGCTTGAGCCACAGAAACTGTCAGTGACAGAAATCTGGCAAAGGGCCTGGGCAGATTTAAAAGTACAATGTAGCTCCCAGATACCTGGGATGTTTGCAGATATTTGGATTTAAGAGGTTCAATTCAGACAGCACCATCATGAGGGATCCCAAGTGTTGATACACTGAAAAAGGAAACTGTACATCCCTGCACATGTAAGGTGTTTTTTCCCTTGTGAAATGTGTGGTATCCAAAGAGTAAAGACCTTGGGCTAATACCCTTACGACATTCACCGCATTCATAAGGGCTTGATCCAGTGTAAACAGTGATTTAGGACACTGGAGCTGTAGGTAGAGAACTGAGCATATTCCCCAAATTTTAAGGCCTTTTTCCAGTGTGAATTCTTCGATGTGTGATGAGGTTAGAGCTTTGGCTAAAGGATCTCCCACATTCACTGCACTCATAAGGCCTCTCTCCAGTGTGAACCCTCCGATGAGTAGTGAGGTTGGAGATATATCTAAATGACTTCCCACATTCACTGCACTGGTAAGGCCTTTCTCCAGTGTGAACTCTCCGATGTTGAAGCAGCACAACATTTTGGCGAAATGATTTTCCACATTCGCTACATTCATAAGGCCTTTTACCAGTGTGAACCCTCTGATGTTGAAGGAGTGAAGAGCTTTTCTTAAAGGACTTCCCACATTCACTACACTCATAAGGACTTTCTCCAGTGTGAACTCTCCGATGTGTAATGAGGTTAGAGATGTATCTAAAGGACTTCCCACACTCACTGCACTCATAAGGCTTTTCTCCAGTATGAACTCTCTGATGCTGAAGGAGTGCAGAGCTTTGACGAAAAGATTTCCTACATTCACTGCACTCAAAGGGACTTTCTCCAGTGTGAACCCTCTGATGTTGAAGGAGCACAGAGTTTTGGGAAAATGATTTCCCACACTGGCTACATTCATAAGGCCTTTTCCCAGTATGAACACTCCGATGGTGACTGAGGCTGTGGCTTCTGCTAAAAGATTTCCCACATTCTTTACATTCATAAGACCTTCCAGTGTGAACTCTCCCATGTTGAATGACATGTGATCTTTGGATAAAGGCTTTTCCACATTCACTGCACTTATAAGGTCTTTCTCCAGTCTGAACTCTCCGATGTTGAATGAGATTTGAGCTTTGGCTGAAAGATTTCCCACATTCACTGCACTCATAAGGCCTTTCTCCAGTGTGAATACTCCAATGTCGAATGAGGTGGGAGCTTTTCCTAAATGATTTCCCACATTTACTGCACATGTAACATCTTCCCCTCATGACGACTCTCTGGTGCTGAACAAGTGTGTGTTTGCAGCTCAAAGTCTTTGTGGCTGAACAAGTGTGTGTTTGCAGCTCAAAGTCTTTGTGCAGTCTCCCTGGTTATGATGGATTTTTTTCCCTGAAAATGCAGCCTCACACTCAGCTCCACTATTTGACTTCTCCCAGGTGTTTGTGGCCTGTTGGTGAAGAAATTCTGAGTCGCCCAGGAAGTCCTTCTCGACTGCCCCAGAGGTAAAGGGCTTCCTTGATATGTAGAATTTGCAGTTGTTCACAAACAAGTATCTCCTCACATCATTTCTCAAAGGTTCCTCTCCAATGTGGTGCTTCTGGTGCTGATGGAAGTTTGCTCTGAAACAGAATGGTTTCTCACATGGCCCCAATGTGTGTAGTTTCTGCCCACAATGTGTTCCCTGGTACTTAGCCAGGTGAAAAATGTCACTGAAGACTGGGCTGCACACCTCATAGGGGTTGGCCTTCTGGGGAAACAGACCTGCCTTGACAGTCCTGATCTGTGACCCTCCTTGAATTTTCTGCTCAGAAAGTGCCTCATCTGCTCCATGCCAACAACCTGAAAGCAGAGAAATGCTGGTGAAGTGCATGTTGACTCGTGTGAGGAGAAAGCCCCATTACATATGTGTGTCTCATAAACCCAAGAATGAGTCCTCAGGACTGTCTACAAGACAAGTTGGTTAGGTTCAAGGTGAGGATGGGGATGCTTTGCAGTACTGGCCCTTTAAAGATCTCAGAAAGGGGAGGCCTAACAAAGTGAAAGACACAGCCACAGGAAGCAACACAAAGAAGAGGCAGGGTCCACAGCTCATTCTGCTGCAAACAACATTCAGCAGGACCTTGCCTGATGGTGACACACGAGTGCTCTGCAGCAGGCTGAACCCAGGCCCAGGAAAATCCAACTGCAACAGAGAAGCTGGTATTCAAAAATTAAGAATGTGAAAAAAAACCAAACAACAAAAACAAAAATTAAGAATGTGCACACCCCATGACACAAAAGGTACAAGCCAATGCTGGGCAACCCTCCAGACAGACCAGTGTTACAAAGCACTGAGACATGTATTCCAGGGAGGTAAGACTTATCTTTGAGCTGCTAGTAAGAAGTGACAGGTAACAGAGCTGAGAAGGTGGCTAACTGAAGAATGCAGAAGGACAGGCGGAAATGAGGTGTGGACACCACTGTGATTGGCACCAAAAGGCTAGTCAAAAAGGACAGATTTCTGCTATGATTTGTATACAGACCTGACATCATGCCCTCCCTCAGGAGCCACTTCTCAGGGCCAGGCCATGTTTGAATTCCTCCTGCTGTAGTTGGATTTCTTTCCTCTCCACCAGACCCCACTGATGAGCAACTAAAAAGAACCTGAATGATTTAAGTACTAAGGTAAAGAGAGGACAAGTGAACATTCAGGACTAGCCAAAAATAACTCAGCACGTGACAGATCACAAGAAAGAAAACTAAATATTACAAAAAAAAACCCCAGAGGAGTGTCTTTCAGGAATACTTCACGGTCCACATAAGAGTGACCAGGTCATACTATAAAACCCCTAGAGGAACACACAGAACACTGTGGCATAAATTGCAGCACTACTTTTTTGGATCTGTCTCCTAAAGAAAATAAAAGCAAAAATAAACATACGGGGCCTATTTAAACCTAAAAGCTTTTGCACAGCAAAGGAAACCATCGACAAAAAAGACAACCTACTGAATGGGAGAAAATATTTGCAAATGATATGACTGATGAGGCATTAATATCCAACATACATAAGCAGCTCAGACAACTTAACATCAAATAACCAAACAACTCAATTTAAAAATGGGTAGAAGAAGTGAACATACATTTTTCCAAAGAGGAAATCCAGACGGACAACAAGCACATGAAAAGATGCTCAGCGTTGCTAATCATCAGGGAAACTCAAATCAAAACCAGAATTAGATATCACCTCAAAGCTGTCAGAATGGCTGTCATCAAAAAGAACACAAATAGCAAATGATGGCAAGCATGCGGACAAAAGAACCTCATGCATTGTTGGTGGGAATGTAATTTGGTGCAGCCACTGTGGAAAACAGTTTGGAGGTTTCTCACAAACCAAAACACAGAGCTCCCACCCCTCGGTATATATCCGATAAAAGCAAAAACACTAATTTGAAAAAATACATGCATCCCAATGTTTATAGGTGCATTATTTACAACTGGCAAGATGTGGAACCAACCCAAGTGTCCATCAACAGATGAGTGGATAAAGAAGTGGTGTACATATGTGTGTGTGCGTGTGTATACATTACTTATATTATATTATTATATAATACTACTCAGTCATAAAGAATGAAATTTTGCCATTTGCAGCAATGTGGATGGACTTGGAAGGCATTATGCTAAGTGAAGTAAGTCAGACAAAGACAGACAAATACTTTATGATACCATTTATACGTGGAGTCTAATAGATACAACAAAATAGTGAACAAAAAAAAGGAGACTCACAGATACAGAGACCAAATTAGCGGTTACCAGTGGGAGAGGGAGAGGGGCAATACAGAGGTGAGGAGTGGGAGGTACAAACTACTGGGTGTGTGACTGGCTCAAGGATGTACTGTACAGCACAGGGAATACAGCCAATATTTTGTAGTAACTGTGTACAGAAATAACTTTTAAAAATTGCATAAAATTTTGAAAAACAAAATAAAAAAATATGGAATCACTATGCTGTACACCTAAAACCAATACAACAGTACAAATCAACTATACTTAAAAAAAAGTGATCAAGTTAGTGATGGCAATTTCTGGCACAAGTAAGAATGAGGAAATGTTAGCTCGAGGAAGACTGTAGAACCTATGGTACACAAGTGCCTTGGATCTGGAAAATTCACCTGGCTAAGCTGAGAGGGTAAACAAGGTAGGATTCATGCCTGCAAGACTCCTGACTCTGGACCCATCCCTGTTAGGTGACAGGTAGCCGGAGTAGGGGCTGCTCAAGAAGAGAAGTGCTCCCACCTCAGCCCCACCACAAAGCAGCACCCAAAGTCCTGATGTGAGAAGGGCAGATGTGCCAATGGATAAAGGGGAGGGGCAGAGACTAGCTCAGGGCACAGGGGTGGGTGCGAGGGCCTTACCCAGGGAGGTTATAAGTGCCAGGTTCTCCAGCATCACATTGTGGTGCAGGCATCTCTGAGCCTCATCAAGGAGACCCCATTCCTCCCAGGAAAAGTTCACGGCCACGTCTTCAAAAGTCACACTGCCCTGTCGTGATTAGGACAGATGAGACCACAAACAAGCCCATCTCCTGAGGACCTATGATCCATTCCTCCAGGTATCTATTCTATGCCCATCCTCCTCCCAATCTCCCCAGTCAGAGGAAGAACTAAGCCCTGGTGCCACTGGTGCTACTGTCTCCATATGGGCCCCCTGACTACTAGATTCAGCCATCAGCAACAAGAGTTAGGTGCACAGACATCCAAACTGTGGGCCTGACACAGAGGCATCAGCACCTCTGCCAGGCAATACCCCCGGTATGATCAAGGTCATGTAAGTCCCAACAGCAGGGGCCTGGGGCCACCAGACATACCCCTCCTCCAAGTACACATCACTCTTTAAACTGCACATCCCTCACATCTCTAGATGTCACAGCCACATGCCCATGGCCACCACCACCTCACTGTCCCAATCCAGAAGCATCTCCCTAGCCTCCCCACTGCTGAAGTATTTTGATCACCTCCTTTTCACTTCACTGGTGAGGGTGAAATTGTACCTAGAGGTATGGGGATGGCCAAACACAGGGCAGCTGACACTGGCCAGATGCAATCAGTAGCATCTTACTAATCTATACCCAGTCTGGAATAGGAGGACATTACACACCACATAAGGCTACATGGAGTTACACTCTGGAAAAGATGAACAACTAAGGGCTGTGGGTAAGCTCTGTAGTATCAAGAGGTAAGATGCCCTTGGTTCCCACGGGAGGATACAATTTCCTTTCCTGAATAACTCCAAGGTCTGACAGGGAACTGAAACCCACTACAAAAGGATAAGCAGCAATTACACCTGGTCTCCTTATACAATCCCCTTTATAAAAACAGGTTGTTTGGTTAGGAGACCTTATCCACTGGAGTAGAGTGAGGTGCGAACTGGTGCTCAGACCACATGAGGTCCTCTCAGTTTCAGCACATGTCATGGCAGCATATAACACTGGGACTTAATTTTGGGCCTTACACCAAAATTCAGCAGAGAGTACCTAGAATATGCTTGGCAGATTCATACAGGATCCTTTATTTCCCTAGACTTCCCACAAATCCCACTAGCAGGGACAGCACCACAATCTTCCATAAAGGCCTCCCTGCCAGGCTCCATTCCTTACTTCAGACTGAGCCACACAGAATCTCCTGTAATTTCAGACCCCATGGCCTATTCCACTTCCATGCTGTACCTGCTGTTCCCTAACCAGTCACAACCTTCCTCTGTCCACTTAACCCTCATGCAAATCCCAGCCCATTGGTGGCCCACTCAGGCCTACTGTTGCTCATAAATGACCACATTTCACCCTGATCTTGTTCATTCAGGGTGAATGAAACATGCCAGAGCACACCAAAGTCATCAAAAAAAAAAAAAAAAAACAAACCTGCAGAGTCCATAGGGAGGTAAGCACCAGCTCCAGCCTGAGTGTCAACTTGCCTCGACTACTTCTAGACCTCCTCATCATCTCAGGTCAATTTTCCCCTTAGAATGTTTGGTCACCAGCCACTCTATCTTGCCTCCAAAACATCCTCCTCTGTGGCCACTTACCTTCCTCATTTTGGCTTGTTAAGCCCAACACCATGGCGCAGGTACTCAAGCAAGAGATCCCGTCCACAGCCCCACTGTCCCTTTCCCGGCTGCCTAACAGTTTTTCACCCTATCCTGAAGATTGTCCCTCCTAAATGTCACCACAGCTTATTAAACCTGGTCTACACAGTGCCATCCACATTTTAGATGTCTCCATCCTGTACCACCTCCCAACATTTCCAGACTTATGTGTTCAGCTGCCCCTTTCATGCCTCCAACTCAGTGATCTCCAATACACCTCAGACTTCAAATACGGCTAAAACAAAGCTCTTGCTACCCCCATTGAATATCACTTACTTAAATCCTTCTCATCCCAGATGGAGTTTCCATCCCTACTGCTGCTAAGACTGAAAACCCTGGAGCCATCTCTGACTTCTTTTTTGTGTGTGAAGCTTTAGAATATTACAAGGCCATCATAAAAGTAAAAATATATGTATCTCATTACTCTTTCAGTGGTTCAAGTAACAAGTACAAGTAACAAAATGGATTGTTTAGTGTACAAACTGGGAGTTCGTGGGTACAGAGCAACATCAGCCCCAGCTCCACCCCAAAGTGAGGTCCTGGCCAGGATGCAGACCCTCAGCCAACCAAGGCCGGTTGGCAGATGTCAGCTCTGGTCTCAAGAATGCAGTCAGTCTCACCCTACACCCGAATGCAGAGTCCAGGCCCTCCACTGTGGGGAGGCAGCAGCTCCCACACTCCAGCTTCTGTTCTGTCACCAGGCCTGAGCTCCAGGGTCCCC